ATGTTGTTTTCTCCATTTCATACAAGGAAACTGAGTGTTTACATGCCTAGACTTTACAGCTAGTGAAGAGCATAGCTGGTATTAGAATCCTAAGTCTTCTAAACACGTTGACTGCTTTTATTTTTTATTATAGCGTTATGCATAAGAGGAAACTAATATCTCCTACATTTATATAAATTATCAAAGTCTTAGTAAAGGTTTATGTTATTACAGCAATGAGAGTTTGAAACTCATGAAAGTTCACAGTAGACCGAGCTGTAGAGACTGGCTGAGTTTGAAGGCTGATACTTGATGACTCCCAGATGTTCTTTATATGTGTGTGTGTGTGTGTGTGTGTGTGTGTGTGTGTGTATAGTTTCAGCAAAGAAGAGGGCATTTTAGTGGTGCATAGCATTTTTAGCTTTGACCAGTATGGTGAAATGGCCCTTCAGAAAGGTTTACACTCCCACCAAAAGTCCATTCAGTTAAAAAAAACAAACAGTGTCTGTGACACCTGTGGTTACACCATTTTGGTTCAGTAGCTTCGTAACCTCTTGACAGCAGAGATCTGCCAAGTTCCCTTGCACAACCTACGTACAGACCCTCTCCTAACGTTCGCAGGGTCTGGGAGGAGAGTATAAACAGAGGTCTTGTGCCTGGGCCAGGAATGGGGTGAGACAAGCAAGGCAGCATTTTGAATAAAAATAGGTTCAGTAACAGTTCGAGGCTGAGCCATATTGGAGCTTGAGGCAAAAGGAGAATAAGTAATACTGATCCTGCCTGGATTTAAAATTTTGATATTTGGTTTATCATGGATTTTTTGCATAAATTTTAATTTTTTGACATATTGCATTACAATATTATTTATCTTGTTTACTGAGTTTTTGGTGTTCCCTTAAATTTTGCACAAGAGGTGAGTGAGGCACTCACCTCACCCTAGTTTCAGCCCTGCTTTGGGCTGGGGGGTGTGCTCATAGGGGGAATCCTCAGTACAGACGGGGGAAAAGCCTGTGTAGGCCCCCATGGTGGGCCTGTTTGAGTAGGGGAGTTCCAGGGTCTCGGCTATGTGGAATGAGGTCTGGAGGTTGAGGCATAGGTCACAGGTGGGCACCAACCCTTAGGTCCACAGTTTCCGTGCCAGTGGAGGGGAGAGTGGCTGGAGAGAGAGACCAAGGGACACCGTCCAGAGCAGTGGTTCTTAGCATCAGCACCACCTGGGGGGCGTGAGAACATGCATCTCCGGGCCTCGCCCCAGATTCTGATTCAGCAGGTCTGGGATGGGGCCGAGATTCTGCATTTCTAACAAGATCCTAGGTGATGCTCCTGCTCCTGAACTGGGGACCACACTCTGAGGACCCCTCTTCTACAGTGTAGGGTCCAGGGCAGGGTCCCTCTTACCTGGGTCTAAGTTGCTGCTTCTGAGACACTTCTGAGACAGTTTCCAGGCACAAGGAAGGTGAAGGGGCTCTCGTGCTTTACCAGCATCGCCTTTAGAATTTGCATCCAGCAGTGTATCCAGGGTGCACCCTTCCAGGGAAAGATGGTGTCCTTCTCTGCTTTCCTGGCCAGTCTTGTATTTGTCACTGTTATTAATGGAGGTTTTCTCCAGGATGCTGGACGCTTGTTTACAGTGAATCATCACTACAGATTTTTTTTTCTTGTAAATTCTTGTGTGATGAGTGGAAATGAGAATGACAGTAGCTGATGTTGCGTGAAATTCTTAAGTGCCCCTACATTTTATTTTTTAAGTTATTTTTTAAATAACACTGTATTTTTTAAAATACATTAACAATTTAAATAATACCATATTGTTTTTACATATAAAAAATAAAATTAAAATATCCCATAAATCCACTACTCAAATGATAATAGTACTAAAAATACAAAATAGAGTAAAAACTATCTTTCTACCCCTTGCAGTTCCTTTCTCCAATTTTGTCATTCTTGTGATTTTTTTCCAGAAAAAAATATTTTTATTGATGTCTTCCATCCCAGTTTTTTTTCTTTTTACACAAGGGTGATTATACAATAAACACTGCTAAGTACCTGGATTTTTAATTTAGTAATGTATCTTAAAGGAGCCCTGGTGGCGCAGTGGGAAACCATATGGGGCAGTTCTATTCTGTCCTTTTGGGTCACTATGAGTTGGAATCAACTCGATGGCAATGATTAATGTATCTTAGACATGTTTCTGTATCAGCACATAAGAGATTTACTTTAATCTTCTTAATAGTTCATAGGATTTCATCATTAGGGTACCCAGTGTTTAACTAGTCCTCCAATGAAGAATTCTTTGGTTTAAGGTTTTTGATATTACAGACAACTCTGTAGTGAATATCTTTGTCCATATATCTTGAAAAGCATTTGTGAGTCCAGACATAGGAGTAATACCCAGCAGTGGGGCTGCTGGATGAAGGGTATGGGCATTTTTAGGCTTGAAGGCAAACACCACCTTGCCCTCGAGAAAGGGTCACTCCTGCCAACCCTGAGGGCCATGCCTATTTCTTCAACATCCTTGCCCACAATGGATACCATAAAAGCAATAAAAAAAAAAAAAAAACTACTCTTCTAATAACAATAATGGGATTAAGCTTGATAAAACTTTCATATGCTCCTGAGGGACCCAAAAGAAAGCTTAAATAAATGGAGAGTCATACCACCTTCTTGGAAAGAAACTCACAACATTGTGAATATCTCCATTCCCCTCAATTAAGCTATAACTTGAACATGATCCAATAAAAATATGAACATGATTTTTTGGGGGGGAGCGACTCAACAAGCTGATTTTAAAAACCGTTTGGAAAAACAAACAAACAAGAATATACAGGAAGATTCAGAAAATAAACAGGGAGATATTCCTATTTTTAATATCTGACCAGGAAATAGTCTGATATTAAAATGTAATATGAAACTAAAGTAGTGTTGTACTGATACACAAGTAGATAGATTAATGGATCACAGTCATAAATATATTCAGGAATATAGTGTATGATAAAGGTAGCACTTCAAACCAATGAAAAATGGATAAATCTGGGGGAGTGTTTTGAATTCATATTGCATGCTTTATACCAGATAAATTCCAAATGGATCAAGGGCTTATATACAGAAAATGAAGTGTGTATTACAAGAAATAACAGGAGAATGGTTTTATAATCTCAGGTCTTCCTACTGTGACATAAAACTCAAAAGCTATAGAAGATTGGTAAATTCAGCTTCATAAAAAAAATTTCATGGCAAAAGCCACCTTCTGCAGAGTCAAAAGAAAACAACCAATTGGGGAAAGATATTTGCAACTGGTATCACAAATAGGAGCTAAATTTCCTAATGTGTAAAGAAAAAAGGATCGATAACCCAATAAAAAAGTAGCCAAAGGTTATGAACAGTTCACAGAAAAGGACATACAGAAAGCGTTTAAACATGAAATGTTCAAAAAGAGAAAACATGAATTATATAATGAGAGAAATACAAATTACAACTTCACAGAGGTAATTTTTTTCACCTATGAGACTGAGCCAAGATCTAAAAGTTTGGTAACACATTTTTTTGCTAGAACATAGGAAAAGAAATGCTCTTATAAATCACCAATGAGAGGGCAATCTGTACTACTTCTATGCAGGAAATCTGGCAATTCCTGAAAAAGTTAGAAATGCTTATATCTTTAACCCAACAACTCCACACCTAGAGATTTATTTTTTGGATATATTACATGTGCACACACATTAAGTCATGTAGGAGCTATATTTTTCCTCACAGCATTACTCATAAAAGCAAACATTTGAATAATCTATGATACATCACGCAACGGGGATACTGTGCATCTGTGTTAAAAAAAAAAAAAAAGAATGAGGAAGAGCTCTGTGTCCTTACACGGAAAGGTCACTAATAAAAGTGTGCTGTTAATTGGTAAAAAGCCAGGTGTGTAATGTTATTCTACCATTTGTGTAAAACCAGGGTGAGGGTTAATATAGACCTATTTACTCGTGTATGAATTTAGAGATTGTTAATATGTATACAGGGAGCCCTGGTGACACAGTGGTTAAAGCGCTTGGCTGCTAATTGAAAGGTTGGCGGTTCAAACCCACCAGCCACTCAGTGGGACAAAGATGTGACAGTCTACTTCAATAAAGATTACAGCCTTGGAAACCCTATGGGGCAGTTCTGCTCTGTCCTACAGGGTCGCTGTGTCGGAATCGACTTAGCGGCCGTGGGTTTGGTTTTAATATGTATACAAAAACTGAATACTATTGATTACCTCTATGGAAGTAATCTGGAGGCAGAGGATAGGGCTGAGGTGGAGACCTCACTGTATTGTACTTTTGTACTGTTTCACTTTTGAACCTTGTCTGTCTTTCTCAAAAATAAGTAAATTTAAAATACAAATTTTAAAATAATTTGATAGGTGAAAAATATTTACTTATTTTTGATATGTATAGTTTTGATATGTATAGTTCTAATATTTAGTTAATTTGAGTGTCTTTTCAAATATTGATTAGCCTGTTAAATGTTTTTTAGGCAATTGCCTGTTCATATACTTCGCTCATTTTCCTTTTTTTAGCGGTTTCTTTTGCAAATTAAGGAAATTACCCGTTTCTTTAATGTCACAGAAATTTTGTTCTAGTTTTTCTTTTGTCTTTGTTTATGCTGTTTTTTGCCACCTACAATTTTATATTTGCATGTAGTCTTTTTTCTTTTCTTTTTCCTTCCTCCTGTACTTACTCCCTCCCTCCGTGCTTCCCTCCCTTTTTCCTTCTTGCCTTCGGGTGGAACTGGCTTTTCCCTTATGGTCTCTGAGAAGACTGACTCTGGATTTAAGACCCCAATGATAAATGCTTTTGGATGTGTGAGAAAATGACCAGCCCGCTTATAAATTGAGGACAGTAGTTAAAAGGGGAACAAACTCAGTTTTTAGCAAGGAGTGAGCTAGAGGATCCTCCCCTCGGGCAAGGAGAGAAGACTTGCTTGGGTGGGTAGTGGGTGGTTCTTGTGGGACTCTGCTGAGCCTCTCCTCTCTCCCCTCCCAGCGGAGCTCCCGAGGTCCTCGGCAGTGAGGCTGGCTTCCCTGCGGGACCTGCCCGCCCAGCTCCTGGAGCTCTACCAGCAGGGCTTCTCGCTGGCGGCCCTGCATCCGTTCGTGCAGCCGACCCACGAGCGGGAGAAGACGCCCCTCGAGCGCATTTTCAGGGCCATCCTGGTCAAGAAAACCGAAAGGTAAGACATCTGTGCAGAGGACGGTTGCCATAACGCTGTGGCTAGTGGGTGTTGAACAGGTGGCCCATTAAAATTGCACACTGTTCCCAGGGCCTCTGCCCTCTGACAGGTAAGGAAAAAAGCTAGACAACCAGAGAGGAATTTCATAGAATCCTACAAGGAAAACCAAGTGCCAAGCCTGACTGCGTAAGTAGAGAGTCCCATTTTACATCCTTTCTCTCCTTTAATTTATTGGATTAATTCAGCTAGAAAAGTGTCTCCTCTGAAGAGGTGTACTGTCAGAATGATGCAGCTAGTAAAAGTATAATGCTGTTAATCTGAAAAGCGTGGCCAGAAAGCACATTAATCTTTCTTAAGGCTATATACAAACTTAAGGAGCCCTTGTGGCACAGTGGTTAAGCGGTAGGTCAGTGGTTCAAACCTACCAGCCATTCCTCCAAGAAAGATGTGGTAGCCTGCTTCCCTAAAGACTGTAGCCTTGGAAACCCTGTGGGGCAGCTCGACTCTGTCCTGTAGGATTGCTGTGAGTCAGAAGCGACTCGATGGCAATGGGTTTGGACTTTTTTTTGTTTGTTTGTTTGTTTTTTGTTTTCATCTGCAAACATAATGTCTTCCCCCAAACTCTAAGAATACTTAAAAATTTTGAACCCACCATAAGCCTGTCAATCACTTGTGAGGAAAAAAAAAAAAAATCTGAATCAAGTGCGATAATTGGTTTGGTCTTGATTTGATTTTCAAGGCTTCCGGTATTTTTTCACTTTGGCTTGCCAGTTTGGATGTTTACTCTTATATTTATTGAATAGTATTACTACTGAATAATATATTGAATGCTTACTCTTGTATTTCAAGTCCACACAGAGGAGGCTCAGAAGAAAGGCTTGGTGATCTACTTCCAGAAAAATCAGCCATTGAAAACCCTATGGAGCACAGTTCTACTCTGACACACATGGGGTCATCCTGAGTCAGAATGGATTTGATAGCAACTGGAAAAAAAAATTAGGAAAAGAGAGGTGGGGATTCATCTCTCAAAAGGGCTGATATTAATTTTAAATGATTGAAAAATGAGAGGTGGAAGAGAAAGCACAATATGTTTTTGCTGCTTTCATAAAAATAAAAATTGAAATGAAATTTGGGAAAGGAAATCAGATTTGTCCTTTGGTCAACTATCATGGAGGGAATGACAACACGTAACGTATTTGAAAAAGAGAGCAAGCGGGAGAGTTCAGAGCAGCTGATCCTCATACTGTCTTTTTCAAAGTTGCTTTGGGGATGGGTGTAGCATGCAGCTAATGTGCTCTGGAGGGACGACTGTGAGATGTGAGGTTGTGTGACTAAGGCAGGCTTCTCTTTCTGGCAGGCAGAGTTCTTTGTTTCTTCATGGCTGATCAAGCTCTGGAGCTCGAGGTCTACATCAGCATGCATTAGGATTTGAAGTGAAACGTGGTGGATGTCTCTAAGTGCAAAATTACCATGTTTCTTTTAGAGTGAGACTTCTTAAATGTCTGCCTTTGATGCATATTGGTTTATTTATATCATTTTCTTTGGATCAATATCTGGGTTAATCACAAGAGGAAATTATTCTAGGGGCCATGGTGGTCTTAAGTTATACCAACACATGGGATGTACATAATGATTATAACTCACAATTATTGAGCACTTAGTGTGTGCCAGGCTTTGTAAAGATCATTTTATCCTCATAATCAGCCCATGAAATAGCTACTGGTATTATTCCCATTTTAAAGGTGAGGAAACAATCAGGTATTTGTCAAGGTCACACAGCAGCAGAGCTCCGACTTGCTCCTATGCAGGCTGACCCCCTAGCTTGCAGTCTGAACCCTGACATGCAGCACCTGCTATGTTCCTGCACCCAGGATTCTTATGGACAGCCGCTTTGTGGAAGAAAAAGTGGAAGTGGTCATCTTTGATCTTAGATGAGGTGGTAATTTCTTTACTCTACCTTACCTCCATTTTACCACTCAGTGGAAACCCTGGTGGCGTAGTGGTTAAGAGCTATGGCTGCTAACCAAAAGGTTGGCAGTTCAAATCCATCAGGTGCTCCTTGGAAACCCTATGGGGGCAGTTCTACTCTGTCCTGTAGGGTCGCTATGAGTTGGAATCAACTTGACGGCAGCAGGTTTTTTTTTTAGGTCTTCAAATAAATCAAAATTTCAGAAAGGAAACATAAAACTGACTTACCACGCGCCTTCAGGCACCGGTGTTTCTAGTCCTTGGATTATTCTGTTGTCCTTGGTGTTCAGAGGAGGCAGGTTCACTTTGGTCAGGTTACAGGAGTGCCCTTCAGTGTAATTCCCCTATAGGAGGTGATGTTAGCACAGGACTTGGCATGAAGTCATCACATTATAAATGAGCTTGACTCTAAATGTGAAGCTTTGCCTCACCCCTCCCGCTATGGAGCAGCATTTTTCAAACTTTAATGTGCCAGTGAATCTTCTGGAGTATTATTAGAGTGCAGAGTCTTACTCAGTAGTCTGGGGTGGGCCCTGAGACGCTGCATTTCTAACACATTCCCAGGTGATGCTGACACTGCTGGTTGGCCCACACTTTGAGTAGCAGGAGTGTAGACGATCTGACATTTCCTATGTGACTCCATGCCTGATACTCCACAGCATTATTAGGAATTGCCATTCGACTCCTAGGGAGAGTTTTGAGACGAGAGAAGGCGAGACAACATAACACCAGAAGAACGTAAGGTTTCTAGCTAGGGACCTGCGTTCTGGGCTACAGTTGGCTTCTAGTAAGTGCTGTAGTGTGGGGTTACACACCAGTGGGTTTTTCTGGGCCTTTGTTTTCTAGTGGATGCAAGGAAGGGCTGGGACTAAATGATTTCCGGGGCCTGTTTCAATGCTACATGTATCTGATGGGGTGAGGTGGGCAAGGAAGCCTCTCTTGAGGAATAGGAAACTCTGCTTCTGGGAATAGTCCATTACATGCCAGCAATGGAGTTGGGGTGCTAAGTGGGGGTTTTTTACATCTACTGAGGGCAGAGCATGTACATAGCAACTTACTTTCTGGAAGAGGAAAATGAATAAAACTATTCAGATGAAACAGTGGTGTGAGGTTGTGACCCACCGCCTTGGAGGGTTTTCAAGAAAGGGAAGATGTCAGTCTCCCTGGGTTTGAGTTCAGTCTAGTCCAGAGTCAGGCAGTCGCCTGGATGACTCTGATGGACATTCCAGCTCTTTGATAAGCAGATACAGAGAAGGAAATTCCTTTGATAGCTTTTGAGCTGGGTCATTGGACGTGCTTTTTTTTTTTTTTTTTTAAGAAAACAGCAAATGCTTGGTAAATTACCGTGTAGAATAAAACAAAAATGACGAAGAGAATTTTCCTCACTTCCATCCGCAATAATACTCGGGTGGGAGGAGTGGTGAGGGTAGTGGGAAGGAAGGTTATTATAAAATATAACTTTAAAGTACCAAGTATATTCTCTGCTAGCAAATGCAGTGACCATATGTTTTCCCATCATGAAGAAAAGACTTCACACCACAAAACAACAAAGGGCACTACAGAACATTTTCTGTATCAGTAGGGAGTTTAGGTCCCAAAAACAAAACAAAGGAAACTTTATGTGATTAATTGTTAATAAGGACCGTTAAAATGATTTTTTTCACAAAGTCTACCAGTTTTCTGACAGCAGTAGATGCTGTTAAATGAAATGACTTAACTCTCAAAAAGGGAGTAAATGCCTGGTTAATATTTTTCAAGTAGACCACATTGAAAGAGATGTTGTTAGGTACTGTCAAGGTGGTTCCGACTCATAGTGACCCTTTGTACAACAGAAGGAAATACTGCCTGGTCCTGCATCATCCTCACGATCATTGTTATGTTTGAACCCATTGTTGCAGCCACTGTATCAGTCCATCTCGTTGGGGGTCTTCCTCTCTTTCGCTCACCCTCCACTCTACCAAGCATGATGTACTTCTGTTTTCTTCTCATTTTGAGTTGTGCTATATCCACAAATGAAGGTCCCAAAAGCTTTACTCCATCGACGTCATTAAGGTTGACTCTACTTTGAGGAGGCAACTCTTAGTTGTATTTTGAATGCCTTCCAACCTGCGGGGCTCATCTTCTGGCACTATATTAGGCACTGTTCCGCTGCTATTCATAAGGTTTTCATTGGCTGGTTTTTTCAGAAGTATACCTCTGCGTCCTTCTTCCTAGTCTGTCTTAGTCTGAAAGGTCCGCTGAAACCTGTCCACCATGGCTGACCCTGCTGATATTTGAAATACCAGAGGCATACCTTCCAGCATCACAGCAACACACAAGCCACCACAGTATGACAAACTGACAGACAAGTGGTGGAAACAGATGTAGGATAAATAAACTTTCTGGATTACTGTCAGTCCAAAGCAAGTTCACTAGCAAGAGTCTCCAAGGAATGACTACTTTAACTTGAGTCTCAATCTTTAATGTACTTGAAAGGTAACTATAAAGTTTTTTAGCAAATATTTGGCCACCAGGGTCTACAGCATGACCAGGAAAAAAAATAAATAAAAGAACTATACAAGCCTGCATTCACTTATTCATTAATTAATTCATACATTCCTTCATCTACAAATACTTGTTGAGCTTATACTGTGTGTAAGGTATTGTGCTAGGAGCTCTGCTTGATGGGACTAGAGGGAGTAAGTGTGAGGCTTAATTGAATATGGAGCCTGCCTTCCAGGTACCTACAGTCTGAGATTGCATTGGGCAAATCTGCTGCAAAAGACCTCTTTAAAGTGTTAAAAAGCAAAGATGTCACTTTGAGTATTAAGGTACGCCTGACCCAAGCCATGATATTTTCATTCACCTCATACGCATGCGAAAACTGGACAATGAATAAAGAAGAACGAAGAAGAATTGATGCCTTTGAATTATGGTGTTAATGAAGAATATTGAATATACCATGGACTTGCAGAAGAACAAACAAATCTGTCCTGGAAGAAGTGTAGCCATAATGTTCCTTAGAAGTGAGGATGGCAAGACTTCGTCTCACA